GAGAGAGAGAGAGAGAGAGAGAGAGAGAGAGAGAGAGAGAGAGAGAGAGAGACATTTACTCAGATGAAACGCTTCAAAAACAAACACTTCAGCACGCGTCTCTTACCATGTGCTCATCATCATCCGTCTTTTTAATGACTAAACAAACAGCATCTAAAGAAAAACAAACAATTATTTACAAAAAACTCCCTTCACATATAAAACGCTTGTTCTGACTTATGTACCGTCTTCAAAATATTGACCGAGAATGGAGTGACAGGAGTGATAGCGCTCTCGATTCGACTCTAGAGTCCAAATAAACAGACGCTTTTCTTTAGCCGGAGCCTGTCTTAAGTACTCCATTACAGTTAAACCATCACGGTCAAATAACTCCGGAACGGTGCCGAACTTCTCGATGAGCGTCTCCTGCAGCGGTGTGAACGTGAGCAGAGGCTTCAGGTCCAACTCCTCCAGATGAGAGCTGTAACGACTGACGAACGACTCCGCGGCTTTCAGACCTGACGGAGGAGACACACATCAGACTGATTAATGATGGACACTTGTACACAATATTCAGATTTCTGAAAACAGAGACGTTTAGTCAGAAGATGTGGAAGTGAACAGCTGTGTGAATGAAACGCACCAGCGTTATCGAGCTGCTGAGCCCACTGCTGCAGTTTGGGTTTGATATGAAGCGTCAGGCCAAGCGTTTCGATGAAGACTCGAGCCCAGACCCGGTTTCTGGACTCCAGCAGAAGATCCACCAGCTCCCACAGAGGTCCAGGGTCTCTACGGCTGTTTAACACGCTCTCATGTCCTTTACTCTCAAATAAATCCAGCCACGGCCGCAGATGCACCAAAAAGCAAGAAATATTCACCGACTCTTCTTTAAAAAGTCCTTTGTTATCATGAATTTGATGTAAAACACGGTCCATATCAATACAGTCTCTGGGTGGCTCTGCAAGAACAATAAGAACAGAGATGCAGCGTTATTAACGCGGTTCTCATCCAGGGGTCCGGGGCTTTTCCAGACTAGTAAAGTCAATGGCTACTGTCAACTGTTTGGTTACACAAATTCTTCTTTTGTTTTCAACAGAAGAAACAAACTCATACAGGTTTGGAACAACTTGAGGGCGAGAAAATGATCACAGAACATACATTTTTGGGTGAACTATTCCTTTAAAATTAGCCAAAAATCAATTTTAAAAAATCAAGATATTTCTTATTTGTATTGATCAGCAACTGTTTTTGTCCTATTTTGAAAGTGTGATTTCTAAACCTTGAAACAATGGTGCAGGTTTGATTTTGGCATTGATGGGGACATAACAGCAGATAACAGACATTTAATTGTTTGATCAAAGTTATTTATTAGTGTCTGATATAGGATCATGTCACAGCGTCTCTACTAAATTCTACACCCTTCAACATCATAACAAGCGATGTCCGACTTAAACTATAGTTATCTCCTTAAATATGAAGAGGTCAAACAACAGATTCATGAGTTACTGCAAATTTCACAAAGCTTATGGATGTAATTATAATATAAGACACTGAAGTGAGTTGCTGTTTTTGTCTCTTCTGAGGAAGATTCATTCACTTGTTTGCAAGAAGCAAAAGAGCACAAAAAAGCAGAACAACAAAATTAAAGAGGGCAAACTTTATCATTCAGCTGAACTGTACTCGTATGTTTCAAACACTTCAGCTCTTATATGTTCTTACTCCACACATCTATTAAATGTTTTCTAGCATATTTCTTTAACTTCTCAGGTAAATGTCAATGGTTCGACCCATTTCAGATGTGGCCAAAATTACAACAACAGTGGTTACATACACATATATTTAATAAAGCTTTATAATTGTTTGAGCGAAATTATTGCGATGGACAATTTAATAGTGGCTGGATATCGAGAGGGACATGTCATAGTGTCTCTACTAAATTCTGCGCCCTGGCATTGAAAAGTCCTGTAAATTAATTCAAATCTTTTAACTTCATAAGCATTATTATAATGATATGTATTTGGATACCTCTCTCTGCCGTCGGGTCTTTAGGGACGTCCGCAGCCGATACTTCCTTTCTCTCTTGACAGGCAGAACGTGTCGCCAACTTGTGTTGTTTCCGCCGAAGCTTTCGTTCATTTTTAGACTTCAACTTCTTAATACTGTCGAGGTACAAAGAGACAAATCAGCCGCCATCAGCAGATGCAGCTAAAGTATGAAATATGATGCATAAGATGCATTAAACGCCACCTTGTACATTGCTGCTTGATTCTCAATCGTCCAACAGGTCTGATTTTAGGAATAGATGTTTTAAACTGAGAGGAGAGGAGAATCATAGTAAGTAAATGAAACATCACTGCGTGCTCTTTGAGTGAGTGAGTGAGTGTGTGTGTGTGTGTGTGTGAGAGAGTGAGTGAGTCAGTGTGAGAGAGCGAGTGTGTGAGTGAGTGTGTGAGTGAGTGTGTGAGAGAGTGAGTGAGTCAGTGTGAGAGAGCGAGTGTGAGTGTGTTGAGTGAGTGTGTGTGTGTGTGTGTGTGTGTGTGTGAGAGCTTGGGAGTGAGTGAGTGAGTGAGTGAGTGAGTGTGTGAGAGTTTGGGAGTGAGTGAGTGAGTGAGTGTGAGTGTGAGTGCGAGTGTGAGTGAGTGAGTGAGTGAGTGTGTGTGTATGTGTATACATCTCACCTCACACTTTATCAGCCCCGTCGAGTCATATATTACAATGTGACAGACCTGACCTCCACAGTCTGGCGTAAAACATGAATCTTTTAGAAAATCCTGCAGTAAACAGATAAGAACAGTGAGCGTCTGTGCCATCCTCAGGTTTCTCACATAAGCATCATCACGTGTGTCCCTCTGACCTTGTCGTTCTTATCAGAGAATGAAAGTGTTTTGAGCTTCTTCCAGCAGCTCATATGAAACTCGACTCTGCAGCTCTGACAGCAGGTCAGCTGGATGAAGCCCTGCAAACAGCACACGCTCGTTACAGATCGCCAGACCCATCAGACAGCAGATTCAGCTCAGCACACTCACCTTAAAGTCTGGATCACTGAAGTAGATCTCCACCGTGTGAGAGAGGCAGTGCTGATACCGGCAGACCGCGTCCGCTTTAGGAGGAAACTTACACACCTCTATGAAGTCCTCCAGATGTTCCTTCAGGATAGAAACGGTTCATATCAGCACCATAAACACGCACGATGTTATAAGAGAAGTTTTGTTGCTTTCAGTCCACGTCTGTTTGCTTTAACAGTTTCATATTCAATCATTTAATCCTGTAAACATTTTTTGTACACCTGCGGCTGTGGTGAGTGGCTTTACTGAGCTAAACACCACTGAATATGAAAAAAAAAGGAACAAGCTCCAACTTCTTGTTTCGAATCGAAATACATCAGCATGTCAAGCAAGGTCACAAGGACTATTCTGGGTTCAGCATCTGCAGACAATCATTGTGATTCCAGAGATGCAAACAGGTAAGGGGGGAAAAAGGTGAGAACATTGCGCGGATCGGGGGCATGCTCTAGGGCTGCACGATAAATCGAAATGAAATCGCGATTAGGCAGAAGCTGTGATTGTCATGCGTATCTTTCAGTGAAGCAGGGTTCTGTGATCAGCAGTAAATCTCCATCTGAAGGCCAGAGAAACTCCAAATACACCCCGCAGAAGAAACCCAGGACATCCCTACAGCACTAGCTGAATAAACAGAAGATTGAACTGCTTTCAGTGATTCAGCCTGACTAATAAACACACGACTACGACAATATATGGTTTATCTGAGTTCTTATCTTTATAATTTTCATTATAATAAAGTATATAATAATGCAATGCCTTTTTCACTGCTTAGAATACTATGAAATATGTTTAAGGTTAAATATGCTTTATTCTGTGTAAGAAGCCTCATCATCTCACAGAAGGATTTATTTCAAACACTCGACTGACGTTACGAAGTGAGTTTGGAGGAAAAACGTATTAAATGTGGTATTTTCACCTGCTTTCAGATGGAGCAGCATTTACTACACAGAGCCGTAGTTCACTGACAAGCTACGCAAACAGCTGTCATTATCGCAGAACGATTTCTTCGATTTCATAATCGCGTGATTAAATCGTCTGTGATAATGAACACGATATTGTGTAGCTTGTCAGTGAAGTACGGCTCTGTGCAGTAAATGCTGCTGATCAAAGAACCGGCTTTACTGACGAGATGCGCATGACTATCGCATGCGATTTATCGTGCAGCCCTAACATGCTCCACACAGAATTTCTTTTAAAGATATTTGCTTCACATACTCATTTGTAGTTACTTTTTTAAAAATATTTTTATTACATTATATGTCCAAAACTCTAATTTTTCACTTATTGAAACAACCAGTTCTTTATTTACCCTTGTAAGATCACAAGTACCTTTGTAAAACATCCCCCCCCCATAAAAACACTATCTCATTGGATCTAAGCAAATCTCATAGGTGACCTATTTTGATCTCAAAAAGGTGAGTTGTCACTGAAAGGTGAGGAATTTGCATCTATGTGATTCGTTCCTCTTCGTAAAAGCGCTGCATGCTCTTGACTGTCTGTTCATTCGTATTTAGGTTTGGTACATATGAACAGACAGTAAAGAGCACACAAATTTTCAGGGGGTTTAGAAGCAGAAATGTGCATACATTTTTCTGTAAAATGTGTCTAAATCAGTTTTGTTTGAACTGTGTTAAAGCCAGAATATTCTGGGATCAGCTGTCACGATCTCTCACGCACACACACACACACACGTTATGCACCTTTAAACAGGCCGGCTGTGTTTCCTCTACTGTAGTTTTAGTGGTTGGCCAGGTGAGTTTTCCAGGTGTGATGTGTCTCTGGATCATCAGCTGTGCGTTAGTGAAGCACTCCAGAGCTTTAGTAAATCTACAACACATCGAACCCAGACAGGAAATGATGTCAAAGACATTCAGCATGCAGTGCAGCAGCATTCAAAATCAACACACTCACCTGTTTTCCTTCAGGTAAACTCTGCCCATCCCATAATGCACCAGTAACTGAAACTTCCTCTCTGACGACTCTAATTTGGTGAACAACCGCTCAGCTTCAGCCAGTTCCTTCAAACACAAGAAACAACACAATGAACAACAACAACTGAAAATACAGTACATTTTTATCCGACATTTAGGTTTGTAGAATAGCCAGCGTGAAGCCATGATTTTAGTCGTCTGTGATTTGATGCTGTACGTCTCTGAGCTTGCATCTGCACGGACACCGAGGGATCTTTTAGGCCGCATGGCCTTCAAACACGGTCTTTAGATAAAAGCAATGAGGCAGACACACTGAATAATCACTCTGTGATGTATTTCTACATAGGCTAGTTGGCAGTCTGCCACCCTTAAAACGAGAAACAGAGATCAATTAATGAGGTGACTGTGGCAGAAGAATCAGGGAGTATTGGGGAGTTTCCAGGAAGAGAAAGAGAAAAGAACACCTGCAAATGAGATAACTGGTAACAACGATCTCTTTGAGATCAACCGTATGAACGTGTAAACTGTGAGTGAGACGGTCCGATGCCCTGCAGGCATCTCTGCTTTGTTGTCTTGACCATTAAAGTCTGATTTTTGCATCTGGAACTCTTTGATTTGAGAGATTATTGAATGAGAGAAGGTCTTCTACAGCAAAGGTGCATCAGACTCGTGCAGTGATACAGTGAAATATCTCTGGCTTTGGTGGAAATGTGTTCATAATGATCGTGGACACAGTCATTCATTCTAAAGCGTTTTCTGAGTGTCACATGACAAACTGAAACTGAAAACATGCATCGGTCTCACTCATCAGGTCCATCTTCACATACAGACCGGTTTTTGGATTCTACAGCTTCTTTTTAGCACATTTGGCAGATGCTTTAATTGACACTGATTGAAGTCCGAATGCGAGACGAAAGCACAAGAGGAATGGCATCTGAAAAGGTTTTCATTTGTAGAGCATAAAGTGAGCAGTAAAGTCACAAGACTTCAGTCACACTCGTCTCCTGCACATGACACTAGCAGAAGTTTCTTTACATCACATTCCAGGTAAACATCAAGCTGAATTGTGGTGCATTACCTCAGGCTGTCCGATTTCCAGCAGGGCCGTCGCATATCCATACATCAGCACAGATTTATCCAGTTCCGTCAAACCCAGCTCCTGTCAGACACAGAAATACACTAATCAACGAGGGTCCAAACCATTTATATTACAGTCAAATATCTAAAACACTCTCAAACACAACTGAGCCTGACACAACATTCAACCAGCAACACCAAAGAAACCAACCGTTTAGTGTCAAGAGTGACTCAATCAATGTGATGTAGAGTCAAACGAGAGCGAGATTTCTCCAGCAAGATCCTACAAATCATCATACACTTTACTAAATTTAAGAGACTAAAGAAGATGGAGAACAGGAGCTTCCTGGCGTTTTCATCGCTGTCAAAAAGTGCGCTTTCAATATATCAGCCAAACAATACAGGCAAACTAGGCTAGAGTTTAATTAAGCTGGTTATCAGAGATGGAAACTCAAGTGTGACTTGAGTGTCACTTTATGATATTCCATACACATTCTCCCCACATGACAGCATCATACACCACATTTTTCTATTCATTCCTAATCCATTCATTCCCTATCAGTATGTTCTGCAGTGGCAACTGTCACAACAATTCATCTCTAAACACACCAAGCCAGCATTATTATACACGCATGATTGCATTGTAAATAAACAAAGTCTAAAGGCATCTTTACTAGGGATGGGTACCGAGAACCGGTATTTTTTTGGACAGGTACGTAATTGGGTGAAGCAGATCCGTGACCTGGTGGAGAGGCAGACCCAGCTGAGAGAGTGGAGAGCCACTTAAATTTAATAAATTTTTTAATTAAATTAAAAAAATTTTTTTCCAGCTTTCCTCTCAGACATATTGGAAAGCACTAATTGTCGGATATTTTAACATTCACATTGATAATACAAATTTAGGGATGGGTACCGAGAACCGGTATTTTTTTGGACAGGTACGTAATTGGGTCAAATACCGGAGTACCGATAAGCTTCAGGACAAACGATACTCTTATCGATACTTGCGTTGTTTTATCTCCGAATACTTCAATGTTAACGACGAATTAGAAGCTGCTGCTTGTCATTTTCTTTCACTGAATGATGTGGTCGATGCTTGCTCGACGTGCGTGTGATATCATGCGCATGTGCGGTGTGTGTTTGCGTGCAATCAGTCATGGCAGCAAGAGTGAAACGTTCGGAAGTGTGGGCTCACGTTACAAAACTAGGTGACAGCAGTGTCAGATGCAATATATGCAGTAGTGTAATAGTGAACGAAGGAGGCAACACTAGTAATACAATGAAACATTTACTAACAAAACAACATCTACCTCAAGCAATGTGCTGTATTTACATTTACATTTATTCATTTAGCCGACGTTTTTATCCAAAGCGACTTACAACTAAGGAATACATCAAGCGATTCATCTTAAAGAGGCAAATAGACACAGGAAGTGCTCGTCATACCAAGTTTCAAGCATTGTTCAAATAAGTACAATCTAGACAGAGAAAGATGAAAGAAAAGAAAAATAATTTTTTTACTGCTGTATTTACTATGTCTCCCGGCTGCAGCTACAACTGCAACTCGCGAGACACATTCACGTCAAATGTTAATTCAGCGGTAGAGTTACACTCACGAGACACTGCACTTATTCGAATCACAAAAGCACATTATTTGCGTGTGCTTTAAAGCCTTGCCGGTTAAACGTTTCATTTGCGTGCTGTTCTGACGTGCACTTATTCAGAGCGTGTACACCGAAGCGTGCGTACACTAAAAGACCTGTTAAACAGCACCTGATTATCTTAGTTATCGTCTGATTGCTCTAATACTGTCAAAAACACACAAGGTTTACATATGAACACATTTATGTCTAAAGTGAAAGTAAACAGTTGAGAGAAAAACAGACGCGTGCTGGTCTTAAAGGGACAGTACTAAACATGCTGCCGTTTGTCATTAAAGGGATAGTTCACCCAAAAATTTAAATTCTGTCATTATTTACTCACTCACATTGTCCCAAACCTGTATTCATTTCTTTCTTGTGCTGAACTCAAAAGAAGATATTTTGAAGAATGTGGGTAAACAAACAGTTGCTGGTCCCCACTGACTTTGATAGCAGGAAAAAAATACATGAAAGTCACTGTGGACCAGCAACTGATTGGTTTTCCACGTTCTTCAAAATAACTTATGTTCAACAGAAGAAAGAAACTCATTCAGGTTTAAAACAACTTGAGAGTGAGTAAATGATGACACAATTTTCATTTTTGGGTGAACTATTCCTTTTAATGTTAATAAAATAAAACACGAGAGAAATAACTCACTGCTCTTGACTGAAGAACTTTAATACAGTTGCTAAAGTTCAGCAGTAATAAAATAACTTGAAATTTTCAACAACTTTTCACATCATATCTTTTTGCACCAGAAAGTATCGATAACAGTATCGATAAGCGGTATCGGTATCAATAGCGATAAAATGTAAACGATACCCATCCCTAAACTTTACACACCACAGAAACCAATATCTGAAGCATAGGGATGTAACGGTGCTCCCCGAGCCGGCTGAAAATCGATACAAATATGTGAGAAACATGTTGAGATGTTAAATAAATCGCAATACAATTGGGGGAGTGAGTTTATATGAATGCATCTCTGAAGGGGACTGACTGTCTTTAGAAATCTGTATATGGAATTTTCTCTGTATAATGCATATTAGTGTTCATAACCTCAGCGCTGCTATGTTTACAGCATTAAACAAGGAAACGCTGTATCGCTGCTGTTTCATAAGCGCCACCTGCTGGCAGAGAGTGAATCTGCATTTTAATTCAGCCTGTTTGCTGCTTGTTTCGTGCAGACGTTTTATGTAGGATAGTTTCACAAAACTAAAGTCAGACCATTCTGTTTTTGCTTCAAATTTCGAAATTATACAATCCAATTTAGATTAAAAACTGCTCATGCTGCATGTATGCAGCCTCTTTGTTTGGATTGTATTTAAATACTGTGGTTGCCTCTAATTTTAAATGGAAAGAGCACAAACAAAGCCTTTTTTTTTCTCCATTCTGTCACCGATGGGGTTTTGGTTCCTCTGGCTTGCTTAGTTGGGTACACTTAATATCCAGGTATCGTCAACTTGATTACACAGATACTATTTAAACTGAACTGAGCTGGATGATGACTAAATACAATGATGAACTGCCTTTAACTGAAAATTTAGTGTTTATTATTGTCCTTTTGCATTATTGACACTATTTTCCTATTTAATACTGTAAACTTGCTTCGACACGATCTGTATTGTAAAAAAGTGCTATAGAAATAAAGGTGACTTGACTTGACTTTGTTTATATGAGATTTCTTTCATGTGTTATTCATTTGATTTGGGGTTTGTTTTAAATTTCAATTTAGTTTTGTTATTTGACATGTCAATTTCACAAAGAAACGTGCAGCATTGTTTCTGAGAAATAATAAAAGGGACACCTTTCCATTTCTAATTTGTCTTAAATCTCATTTAAGACAAATTCATCATCAGAAAATCGTATTGTGAAATCAGTATTTCAAAACCGATTTAGCCTCAATAACTAGCTGAAAGAACTATTGCTAAAAATAGAACAAAGACTTGAAATGTGTCTTGGACTCAACCTCAAAGACTTGACCTCAGAGACTTGTGAACATGTCTGCTGGTTATTAAAAATGCCAAATCGGTCAACCACTACTGTAGACTGTGCCTCAGCCTCCAGCAATACACCCAGGTTTGGTGTGGAAGTGACATGGGTGAAATGGAAAGGAAAACACACACCCGTATGTACATGCAGACACACACGTTAGTTTTTACGGTTTATAGGGACATTCCATAGGCGTAATGGTTTTTATACTGTACAGACCGTATATTCTATTGCCCTACACCAACCCTACCCCTAAACCTACCCCTTACAGGAAACTTTCTGCATTTTTAGGTTTTCAAAACTCATTCTGAATTATGTATAAGCTTTTTGAATTACAGGGACACTGAAAATGTCCTCATAAATCACCTTCTCATTGTAATACCTATGTCATTCCAATGTCATTATACAAATTTGTGTCCTCATAAACCACATAAACACACACACAGTACCGAGGTCCTGCTGGACTCCAGGATCCTGAGCGCCACAGAGAAGGACTGCTGTGCGTTCCGGCAGCGCTGGTCGCTCAGAGCCACGTGAGCCTCCTGAACGGCGGCACAGAAGCGCTTCCTCCTCCCCGCCTCGCTCTCGTCCTCCTGCGGACACCACAGCAGCGTCAGAGTGCTCATAAACCACATAAACACACACACAGTACCGAGGTCCTGCTGGACTCCAGGATCCTGAGCGCCACAGAGAAGGACTGCTGTGCGTTCCGGCAGCGCTGGTCGCTCAGAGCCACGTGAGCCTCCTGAACGGCGGCACAGAAGCGCTTCCTCCTCCCCGCCTCGCTCTCGTCCTCCTGCAGACACCACAGCAGCGTCAGAGTGCGCACACACACACACACACACACTCTCTCTCTCTCTCACACACACACACACACACACACACTGACCGCTGGAGGGCTCGGTCCATCCGGGACAGGGGGGTGTTTGCTCCGGACCGCCGGCTTCTCTGGGACAGCGGATGAGGCTTTCTTAGTCTTTCGTGGACTCATTTCACTAGGAAAAATTCATCAGGAATAAACACAGTATTACAAGCGGCTCAATGAAATCAGTCCACCGTTTCCGCTCAAGGTCACAGATACGAGCGCACAGATTTTGTTGTGTTTTTGTCAATTGTATTATTTTTTAATGTCTACATAGCTTGTTTCAGTTTAACACTACAATACTTCAACAAAACCAAAATAAACAATGTTTACTGCATGCTAACTGAAACAATGTAAGTTTTATATTATATTCAAGTTAATACTTTATGCATTAACTAACATCAACAATGAACAAAGACTTAAGTGTCTTCATGTTCTCAGTCCAGTTTGTATATTGTTGTCAATAATAATGCACGATTCATTCATAATAATAATAATAAAACAATAAGCAAAGACTTGTTAACCTTTGTTAAGGTTAGTTAATAAAAATACACCTGTTCAGTTCATGTCAACTCAGGCCCACTAAATAATAATAACAGCAAATACAACTACGAATATATAAGTAAATGTTGCAATTAATAACCTAAGATTAATCAATGCTTTAGAACTGTATTTCTTTGTTAGGTAATGTTAACTAATGTTTACAAAAGGAATTTTATCTGTAAAGTGTCACCAATTTTTTCAAGTAGTGAAAATGTTTCAAGTTCTACTATTAGTTAATATGTTAATAATTCTGGTTGAGATGATCAGCAGGAAACAGCAGAAATGAACATCCTGTTACTGTCTGAAACAAACCCAAATCTGAAAGCTTCAATGTGACTGTGAAATGAAAGTGAATCTAACCTTATTTACTGTCATTAACTCTTATTTTACGGTCAATAACAGTTCATGGTTCACTTTAAAGTTATGTAACAACAAAGCAATCGTCATAAATCATATCAGTTTAATATTTAACATCTCAAACAATAAAAACATTTACAAAAATCAGCTTTTTTCCCCCGTCTTTTTCATAACAATAACGCGGTTAATTACCTCTTTATGTCTTTGACTCTGTCAGCTCTTCCTTCAGCGAACACTCGAGCTCCTGAATTCCCTGAAAACATGTGAATTATGGGATTATTGCGTCGCACGATGAAGTGAATCTCCGGAGTAAAGACGATCAAGAACCTGCAGGACCAGACCAACCACCCGTCTCTTCTAGAAACGAGCGCAGCGGCACGAAGGAGGAGGAGTAAATACACGCACACACACGACAGGAGACACTCAGAGAAGCTCATTTCCTGCGGAGGGAAAGTTTGACTCGCCAGAACACGCTCGCATGAAATAAACCTCCTGAGTTTGACATCCTTCCAATTATACCAGCAGCACGATATTCAAGCTTAACTCTACAAACACCAGCACAAGTATCACTGTCAGCGCAGATCTCCAGCCATCACTGACGCTTTAACAACACTGACACATCTGAGATCCGTGGCCTTGAAGAGCAGGAGGAGAGCTGGGAACAGACAGTAGATGCTTCAACCCTTTACAGCGAAATACAACATTCGCCGCGAGATAACGAACGACTGACGAGAGTTTAAAGAGCAGAGACTCCAGCTCCACACGCCACTATAACCTCTTCACTTAAATGTCTTAACGAGGCAATCTGGTTTCATTTGAAGGAAACTCTACTGAGGCTCCAGAACACGTCAATAGGGCCACACGATTCCAGTAAATAAAATAAATGTTATATAGAATAAGCATCTTTCAGAAGCGCAGTGCAGTCAAACTGAAGCTTCCAGCTGTTAGATCAGGCTGACATCCAGTGAACTACACCAAAACCTTAGATCCGTTTGGTCTTGTAACAGTCTTCAATCAGCCGAGAAGTTGACTGAGCAAAGCCGGGGAAGAGCAGCAGCAGGAGACAAAGTGATGATGATAAAAAAAAAAAGGAGTGGATTTTATGGATCCTTTTCACAAGACTGTGATGACGCGTTTAACAGTCATCAGCATCGTAAATCCTCTAAAGTTTTTTCTAGTTTGATTTTTTTAAAAATCTATGTACATTTCAATCATGACAACTCTCGGAAGATTTAAGATGGAGATGGATATGACAATGTTAATGTATTTGTATTTAATACACAATGTATTTAATGTATACTCTCTGAATATCATCAGTTACATTAACAACCCGTCAGCCTGCACCATCTAGAGTTTCATGACTGAACTACATATATCTCTCTATTTTTATAGAGTTAAAACATAATAATAATAATAATACAGGAATTCCTGCATTTAGTGTGTTTTCTTTCACTGCATGATTCAGTCTATTAAAATGCATTTAGAATGATCACAAATTCAAGACATGATGGCAGAATATTTATATATTTATACCACTTCATATAGTTATTCAGTTTCACACGAAGAGTGCCGTTTTTCTGATTACAAATGTGACATTGAATTCAGTAAACAATAAGTTAATTAAGAGACTTGCGTTTTAGAAACCATATTGCTTATTTTTGCTCTATTTCGTCAACAAAAATCATTCCGAATACAGCCACAGCGCTGTTTTGTGTCTCTGAGCAACATGACGGTGTTTCGTTCCTGAATGAATCAACCGTTTAAATGATTCGGTTCAATCGCAATGACTCACTTATTAAGAGGGATTTGCTGCCACCTGCTGGCGGTTTTAATTTCACATTTCGTTTTTTTCTTTCTTTTTTCATGTTTTAAATCATTTCAAATATCAGTATTCAACGTTTTATGTTTAATATATCAAAACATTATTTATGCATTTGTAATTGCAGGTTAAATGCATTCATGTCTTGCATTAAACAAAATACATGTGTGTAAATACATCTAAATGCCACTTCAGATGCAGCTTCTGTGTGCATTTAATTTGCTCGGTAACAGCCCAAATGTCTTATTCTAACTCCCTGATTAAATGTAAGAATTTGACTCAAAAGATAATGGACACTTTTAGAAAAAATGGCTTTATAAATGGTAAAAATCAGTTTAAACTTATTGGAAAAGATTAATTTCTATCAGTATGAACTGACCACCACACAGAATATGAAGAATATTAAAAACATTAGGAGTCAGCTGTCTTCGGCAGTCCTTAAGGTACAAGCACAATAACACACTCAGCAAAATATGATCTAATTATCGTTATCGATAAAATCCCATAAAATATTGAGATATAATTTTTTGTCAATATCGCACACCCCTATGTGAGAGTGTTTCTAATGCAGCAGGTTGCAACAGTCACAGGTTGCTCTGAAGAATCCTTTGATCCTTCTCAGTGCTAGATGGCCAAAGCATGTCCAGCACTGCTGTCAATGAGGTTAGAAATTCAAAAGCAACTTCACTTTAAAAACTCTGAAGCATCTCGTCCCTCACCTGCAGTGTCTTCCTGGTGTTTCCAGTTTTCAGATTGCTGGTGTTTGAGAGAAGAACATTACAGCAATTAGACTTTACATTCATGTGAGAAAAAAATAAAAAAATAAATCACATTGTTGCAGTTTGAAACATTGGTTAAAAAAAAAAAGAAAAAAAAGATAGGAACTAAAACTAAATGAAACCTAAAGAGTAAAAAAAAACTGTAAAAATTAAAACATTTAAATAAAAGAGCTAATCACACAAACAAAAAACAGACTAGTTTTAAATATAAAAATAAAAGCTAATCTAAAACTTTATGTAAACCATAACAGTTCATTAAAATATAAAATCTACAATAACACTGTTCACAGTATAGCGTAAGCGCTTGGCCATGGCTGAGCGTTTCATCTCACCGAACTCTCCAGGACTGAAGACTGAGACGCCGCTTCCGGCTGATGACTGGATTTCTGATGACCTGAAGAATCGCTAGCCGCGTGTGATCTGCATTACAAAACAAACCGTAATCATCCGCTCACGGCGTGAATCCAGAGCAGCAATAGAGCAAACACAAACCTGCTTTTAGAAGAAGTTTTCTTCGTTTCGGTTTTCTTGGTCTTCATCTCTGCTGGAAACACAACACAAATGAAGCGCTCTGCTGCTGTGGCTCGCGGCTGAAGCCGCGCTGAAGGATCAGACGTTACCTTTGCTCTCCTGCAGCTCCGTCTGGAAGCGCTCGTGCTGCTGCAGCAGGTCTCTCTGTCCCTCGGTGTCTGTGCCGCAGGCGTCCTGAGCCAGGAGGTTGGCCGTCAGAGCTTTCTGATGTTCCCCCAGATAGAACAGAGCGTCACAGAAGCGGTAGTGACCCTGAAAGCCCAGAGAACATGTGACACAAAGCTCTGGATGTGATGGTGACACAGCTTCATCACAACTCACTGAGAAAACCATTCAAATGACTCTGAACACTGAGCATCTCTTTCACAGACTCTCTCTAAAGCAGAATGCAAAAAAGCATTAGTTTAGTTATTTATTAGTTTATTAGCAAAAGAATTCAGCTGGTACAGAACAATATTAAAGTGACCTGTAAACAAACATTTAAATTGCACACAAGGCAGTTTTTATAATAAACGTTTATATACTAAATTATTATAATGCCATTTTAAATGATATAATTATGTTTCGACTACAGTTTGTTTGTTGAAATATAAACATTTAAAGCATGCATGTTATAACTTGTTTTCATGACGGATTTATTCAAACATACATTAAATACTGAAAGAGGTCAAGTAAAAATACAGTATGTAATACAGTGCATAGTTATTTTTCTAGCTGACTATCGAGTTTATGGACACTGAATGCCTTTCCTGAGGTAAATGTGACGTAACTGATCTCATGTGGTTGTACTGACGTCTTTCTGAGGTTGGAATGCTGACTGATCGATCACATGATTCATGACTCATTTCTTCAGTCCATGTTTATTTGCTGTTGTAGCTAGCAGTAAAGAGGGAGAGATGATCGGTTCATGCTTGAACAGCGATCTGTCACGACAAATGGTATTTCCTCTCTGAATTTCATAATACAACTGACTTAATTTGAAAGCGGAGACTTTGTGTGTTATCAAAAGTAACAAAGCACAAGGACTATTATGATTTGTTGGATGGGAGGTGCTACACATAACGTTTCATTGAGTTTTGTTCTTGTATCAACTGAAAACATCATAGATCATTATCAGTTCATCAAAACGAGAATTCATTCAAATATTGATGATGGCAGTGTTTTCAGTGAACCAGCACTCACCTTGGCCCAGTCTGGCTGTAATATAATGGCTCTCTTTCCGTCTCCAAGTGCTTTCCTGAAAACAGTTCCCACAATCAGTATCACTGGTCAATCATGTTCTTGATTATCATGTATGGTTTGCTCTAAACTCACAGATATTTCTCCGCACGAATGTAGCAGAGCGCTCTGTTCCCGTACAGGATGTGGTTGCTCGGGCTGAAAACAGAACAGACAGACGAACATTCGATTAAAACCTGGGAAACTGACGTGGATTGGGAATTAAAGCAGTGAGGTTCTTCTGTCACTCACTGGTATTTAATGGCTTTGGTGTACCACTTCAACGCCACATCATATTTCTTCTTCTGAAAATGCTCATTTCCTTTGTTTTTCATATCTTCGCTTTTCTGGAATGAAAGGCAGTATCCTATTTCTGTCCCACATCCACTTAATAGAGCAGAACTCCCACAGCAATCAGATTTTAATAATCCTATGAATGCGGTACGTTAAATATGGACACAAACATGTTATTTGATCTTAAAGACTCTCACCGATAAAGCCCAAGAGTCCGGCTCTGATTTCAGCTCCTCGATGGCTTTCTTTTTACTGCATGAAATCACCTGAAGATAACGTGAATCTGTGGGGCCAGACGTTCGTTAGTCAGTGCTAATGAGCACAAACAGGATCCAGCATGAAGCTCACAGATGCTGGCAGCACTGAACCACTGCTGAGATGCTAGCATAGCTTTTGTTAAAATTTTGAATTAGATTTTCTTTCATTTGTTGTATTTTTTCCGATGTATACTGTATATTTTCTTTCATGTTTATCATTTTATTTTGTTAAAGTTTTAACAATTTTGTTGTGCTTTTGTCAGTTTTATTATATATACTGTATATATATTAGGGGTGTAACGGTACACAAAGTTTTAGTTATTTTAGTACTTCAAGAAACTAAACGAAAATTTTTAGTTTTCATAATTTATTTCAGTTAACATTTATCTTATGTCAAAAACAAAATGTTATGACAGTTTTGGTTTTCATTTATTATAATAACCCTGCCTTGAACATGTTTGACATCTCTACTACTGGAAATGAAACTCACACTCGATGAAGACAAAGCGGAGCGTCCGATAGCGAATCTCCACCGATCCGAGATCCATCAGCTTCTTACCGACGTCAGGAGCTCCAGAGTGCCGCAGCCAGCCGATGGCTTCAGGCAAACAATCCTCGTCCTGCAGACAGACGCACATCAGAACACACAAACACGAGTAAAACAAGCTTACCACAGCGGCGCAGCAACGTACCATGGAAAACAATCTGCTTAGGGACACCGCGGCTCGGGCTTTCGTCTCCATGTCCGAGTGAGACAGCTGAGCAAAACAAGACACAACATCAGACCTGAAAGAGTCATGAAACCCTAAAACACATTTTTTGAGATGTTAACATGTGTGACCCTGGACCACAAAACCAGTCTTAAGTGTCAATTTTTCAAAATTGAGATGTATACATCATGTGAATAAATCAAAGCTGAATAAATAAGCTTGGTTTTATTCTGATTAAAGCTTTAATACAGCACAGCAACCGTACGCACTTCCATGTATAACACTTCTCATAGCTATGTGAAAAGTATATAAATGGAACAGTTTGTTGGAGCTGATCTGACGATCTGAATGAGAGAGAGAGAGAGAGAGAGAGATGCAGAGCAGGGCGATGCGAGGAACAGGATTGAGAACCTGCTGCTTTTGAACATTGATTGTGAAACTTGTGAATCCATTAGAATCGTTAGAAGACAGAATCGCGATTCATATATGAATAGATTTTTACATGCACCTCTAGTTTTCTCTTCCTCTTCTCTAAAGCAGTGCAGCGCAGGCCCCGCCCCCTTTGCTGCATGTTCCAGGAGGCGGGGTTTATCTGGGTTTGTGACGTAACGGACCTGGGAAGAAGCTCATTGTAGTCCCTACCAGTCGTTTTTGTAGGCATTAAACTGCCAGAATTTTAAAAGATGATATCTCCGTTTGCATTGAACTTTCAGCGCTGCAACTTTGCAGATATTGTTTATGCTCCAACAGCAACATTACACACTAACTAACTTTAAAAAAGTGAAATCGCAATCAACCACCCCTTTAATATCCTAATTATTTTTGGCATAAAAGAAATGTATAATTTTGACCCATACAATGTATTGTTGGCTATTGCTTCAAATATACCTGTGCTGCTTATGACTGCATTTGTGCTGCAGGGTCACATATGTGAACACGCTGCACATCAGTGAAAACAACTTTAGCCCTCATTACATCTATTATTAAAGGTAAAAGTGGTTATTTTTTCATTTTTTGGAGCAATTTCGTTCTTCCGGTTCAAAAAGCAAAGTTGAACCAACGTCACGAAAAGCGAATTTGCAGTGAAGATTGGCTGCTGTGGCTGGAGAGTACACGTCTACATCAGTTTTCCCAGCTTTTCTCAGTATTATTCATGAGAATGAATTATTCCGATCCAATCAGTGCGCTGTTAAGCATGAGGTCGTCTTACAGCGCTGTCAGTTCATTTCTGTAAACATGAGCGTAATAATATTTAATATGACAACAGAGCGTGCATGAGAGAGCGGTTTCTGCGCTGAACGCCGCGATGGGTTTAACAACAATCGCTGCGAGGATCATAGTTCATATCTGGACCAGAGCAAGCATGTTTCAAGTTTATGTGAGCATATTCTCTCGTGCTCCGAACATGAACCAGCACCGTGTATGCGCACAAGTCTTCATCAAATGAAAGTCTGATCATGAACGCATTGACACGACGGATTATTGTGATACACAGCAAACGATGCAGACCGAAAATTCAAAGAGTAAACAGAAAGTAACTGCCTTTATTCTTTCTGTTTTAAAGATATTTTAATATCCATCTGTTTGTATTAGGGATGTGCATCTCATGACTGAGGCCGATACGATACGCATCTCGATGCATAGCCAATGATACAATACAAAAAAGATACATATGAAGCAGCTACCGATGCGATGCAATACAATTCACCCATTACGATGCAGTGCGATCCGATTTCGATTCAATTCAACACAATGCAATTTGATGCAATGGAAAAAATATGATCACTTTTAATGCCTCAGCATCTCATGACTGAGGCCGATACGATGCGCATCTCGATGCATAGCCAACGATACGATACATTAAAGATATATATGAAGCAGCTACCGATGCGATGTGATACGATTCACCCCTGTTACGATGCAGTGCGATCCGATTTCGATTCGATTCGATTCAAAACAATGCGATTCGATGCAATATGATGCAATGGAGAAAATATGATCCCTTTTAATGCCTCGAGGTCTGTTTCATAAGGCTTATTTCAGTTAGTCTTACTCATTGTCAAATGATTTGGTTCCATAAAGCAAATTTAACATAGATCAACTTCAGTCACTGTGGCAACTTATGCTGGGAAACGAACCTGGTCTAAAGCAGGTTAACTATTGGCGCTTTTCCACTGCGTGGTACGACTCGGCTCGGTTTGCGTTTCCACTGCAGTTTAGTATCGCTTTAGAGTGGGCGGGATTATTCACATGCTGGGACTCCTGAAAAACTTTTTCATTCCTCGTCGCCCCAACAAGCTCTTGCTGGATCCGCTCTTCTGCTATCAACGAGAGGAACGTCTGTACTTCCTCAACAGACAACGAAACAGCCACTTTTTGGTTGTTAAAAAAGGTGCGCTCGTTCAAAACAGTTGCGTTCGATCCCAAAAGTGAACCGTACCGTGCCGTACCATGCAGTGGAAAAGCGCCATATCAGACTAAGCCGAGTTCCTCTAACACTGACCAATAGGAACGCTATTATTTGACTTTTTTTTACAGTTTCGAGCCAAGCAGAAAGGCTCTCTGGTTTTATGACAGCTGTAACTTTGCAGAACAGATAGCAGAACATTAGAACATTACAATCTAAAATTGCTCTTTAAAGCATTAAAATAACTAAATTAAATGTTAAAATCACTGAATTAAAATGAAAATAATAAAGAAAATGACTTCTAAACTGCTATAAGAAACACACATTAACTCATTTGAGCTTAGTAATTAGTAGCCTACTGAACTAGCTTACATTTGATTTACCCATTACAATAGTCCACTTAGTTACTGCTATCATAAAAATACACTTATATCAAGGTTTAAAATTCTACAAAAGGCACATTTAATGTCCAACAACAAATATTTTAGCAAAATGTATATTTTACTCATAATTATTGCATTCCTATTCGATTGCGCAGTCTGTTTAGCGTGCATGCACGCAGCAGCGCTCGTTCACTCGCGTCAGCCTCGTCCACTCCTGACAGCAAAATGGATTTGTTTGCATGACTTTCTAACATTTACAGATGATAAATATACCTGTGACGTGAAAACACAATGTCTCAAATGCATTAAACAGCACGAATATATTCGCTGTTTGCCATGGTGTATCGATTTGATCCATGATCGACATTAAAGCCTGTGTTATACTTTCCGCTTGAGCAATCCGGACGCGTACACGGACAACTTGTATTTATACCTCCGAAAGCATACGCTGATGGTCCGCTCTGCGGACGTGTTCCATACATGCATAGTAGATCGGCTTGAACAATAAACAAACATGTGAACAAAGAATTGCCCAGAGTTATTGCACATTATATTGTTTTATCGACGGATTGTACAGGTTCGAGTAGCAACGGGCTTCTTCACACAGCCTGCGCATGCGCAGTAGCCTACTGACTAGTACCTACGGACAAGTACGCGCGGTCACAAAAAATGGGAGGCACGCGGATGCCCGCGCAGAGCCTCCGCGCACACTCTCCGATGACGATTTTTTCGTGACGCATACTAGTGCTTGGCGGTATGACCAAAAATTTATATCACAGTATTTTTCAAAATTATACCGGTTTCACGGTACATGACGGTATTTTTTTTTTCCATGCATGACCGGGTGTTAACCATATTTTCTACTGATTGAGAGAGGAAATACTGCAGTATATTGACTTAGAATGGCCTATTTTACTGTCATGAGTGAATATTGTCAAAAAATAC